ACGACGACATGGCGGGAGAGCAGGGCGACAGGGATGAGTCGCTCCAGCTCACGCTCGAACGTGCTGCCCGAGCCAGTGGAGCAGCTCGTGCGGCTGATCCGATCAACGGCGATCGCCTGCCCGAAACCTTGATGCACGACACCGACACCTTCGACTCGCTTCAGACCGAGGAGTCGGCGCTTCCGAACTCGCGCATTCCTGCGTGAAGGCTCCGGACCTTGCCCCAACACTTTGCTTCCTTTCACGTTCCCCACCCGATCCCGTCTTCACAATGCCCGTAGTATGCGGCGTCGCAAGAGTATAACAAAAAATGTAGTTCCATTGCAGTCGAGTGTCGAGTGATAGCGTGACGTGACGTGAACCCATCTCGCGACGAAGAGCGGATGCAGAGTCAATCATTCGCAGAGCTGGCCGAAGAGGGCAACGGGGTCTACCACATCCCAGATCTCATCCTTGTGGCGGTGCTGGGGAGCAGTGGCCGCGGCAGCGCTGGCGAGCACCGCGGGGTCCTTCTTGCGACCGTTGATTTCGGCGAGCACCGAGGTGGGATCCTTGAAGCCGGGGACGGACAGGCCGCCTTTGGTCGGGCGGACGCGTCCGTCGTTTTCGGCGAGCGTGCGGCGGTCGAGCAGGCGGAGAGGTGCCGACTGGTCGATCACGAAGCGGTTGCGCACCGGTACGTCGGGTCCGGTTGCAGTTGCGTCGCTCAAATGACTTGTCGCAGCCAGACGCGCCGCACGAGCGAGCTGTCGTTCGGGCGAGGCCGGGTAGAGGCGCCCGGACTCGTCTTCGCCGCCGAAGACGGCGTCGTCGCTCCATTCGGGAGCCAGCATGCGCTCCTGAGTTCCTTGACCCATCGGCTCGACAACCGTGTGCGGTGCCACCTCGAGGAGAAAGGCAACGTCCGAGACGGTGAGGCGTGTGTTCGTCGCGCTCGATCGATCGCTTCGCTCCATGGCTGTACGTGATCGTTTGTGTCCGTTGGCGATGAGGTGGGCCGCTCCGCCGTCCTCTGCATCTGCCGAGGTGCTGCTGTTGCCGAAAGACGTGTCCTGCAGCTGGCTGCTGCTATCGCCGTCACGAAGCGAGGGCGACGAGGGCCCGGCGAGGCTTGTGGCGGCGGTGCTGGCGAGCGACAACATCGAAGAGTCGGCGAACGAGGTGCCGATGCCAGAAGCGCTGGTGCGCGAAGATGCGTCCGACGGTATGGATCGGACGTTCCGGGTGGGACTGCCACGTGCTGACGTCGGAACGCTCTCGTCCAAGTCCATCGCATCGAGCGAGGGCGAGGCTCGGATTGCGTCCGCGACGTAAGCAGATGGGTCGAGGCTGTTGCTGGTCTCGGCAGCGGGGCGGAGCACCTCACTGGTACGGATGCCGTCGGTGCAGTTGGCGCGAATCTTGGTGATGATGCTGCTGGCCACGTTCTGCAGGTGACTCTGCAGAGCCGAGAGCACCATGGCGGCTGCTTGAGGCTGTACTCCGCCGGGCATGCCGTTTTCGACGGCGAGTAGCGTCATGCGGTCCTTGATGCCATCGAGATCAGGCAAGTGCTTGGATTCGACGCACAGAGGCGCCTGAAGAGCACGGGCCACAGCTTGTTGGGCAGCTACACCGGACAAGAAGATGGGCTCAGGAACGCGATTCCTAACATGTGACGCACAGGCTCAGGCAGGCACCTGAGCCATCCCGAACGCGATGGACACTTACAGAAAGAGAGCTTGCCTCGCACAGCGGCGATCTGCTGGGTGGCTTGGATGGCCTGGCCCTTCCAGTCGCGCGCACCGATAGCGCTCTTGAACTGCCTTACCTTCCTGCGGTCTTCGGCGACCTTGCGCTTCTCCTCGTCCTTGCGCTTCTTCTCAAGCATGTCGGCGGCGGAACCGGCCCAGCCGAGGCTGGCGGCGCCTCCAAGGGAGTTGGCGCCGAGCTTGCCGGCCTTTTCGAGGTTCTTGAGGCGCAGGCGCTCCTTTCGCGGAAGACCTGCGACGAGGGTGCGGAGACGCTTGCGGCTGGGCTCCTCTTCTTCCTCCTCGGTGATGGTCGAACCGTCTGGAAGGATTCTAGTGATGCGCCTCGACGCTCTGCTGGATGGGCCGGGCACATCGGCGCTTGCGTTGTAGAGGATTCCCAGGATTAGCGCGTTGTGAAGATGGACTGTGGGAGAGTGGAGAGGCGTGGATGGCAGTAGCGGATTGAGTGGGCGGAGGAGACCGAACGGATGGATTGCGGAAATGCCGATCCAGGCCCGGATCGGAGGGTACAGAGCACAGATTGCAAGGTCAGAAGCTATTTCAAAGAGAGAGAGGAGGTAGAGACGCCAGGAGTTCGATCAAGGGTGGATGGCACTTACTGTGCTCGGGTTTGAGCGCTTTGTGAGCTAGGGCTTCAAATTCGGAGCGGTCGATAGCGCCTTTGAGAAACTGGACGAGGGTCTGCCAGTATCGAGCGCCGTTCTGACCTAGAGCGACGGCGAGCTTTTGCTTGAGATCGAGTGTGTCGGCGCGGATGGGTCGATGTGATGGCGTGTTGGCGCTGGCGGCCGCGCTCAGCTCCCGGGCTATGGGGACCATGATGGCGGATACTTTTGACTGGTTGCGACAGTCAGCGAAGATGCGCTAGGCGCAGACGATGGGTTGGTGTTGGTCTATGCTGCGGAACACGCTTGCTCTACGGCAGAAGCCACTCCCGGGCGATGTTGACCGACGGCTCGCTGGCGCAAGGATGTGTTGGAGTGCACGACTTTGGAGCGAAACGCGCTAGAACGTCGCCAGACTTGTTTGCAGGTCTCGAGAGCACACGACAAGATCGACACCTTTGAGGGATGCTGGGAGGCGCGGCGGTGACGGACTGGAGAGAGGGCGGAGGCGTGACGGGGCGTTGGAAGCGTGCCGGTGTCGCGGATGTCGGAAGGTCGCGATGTGTTGTACACAGAGCAAAGGACTTGAATGCGCAGAAAGGGTCGCGGCAGAGACTAGCTCTAGAAGGTCGAAGCGGACGTTGCTGGGAGATGGGATGCGGATGGAAGAGGCAAGAGCTCGTGGATGCAGTAGCCGAACGTGAGCAGTGGGAAATGAGTCGTTTCGGGCTGAATGGCTGGCTGGGATGCAGCACGCGAGCGGATGTATGTCGCCAGGACTGAGCCTAGGTGAAGCTCGTCGACGTCGAGATGGCGTGGGCGTGGGTAGGATAGAGAGAGGGAGGAAAGCGAATCCATCCGGCAGCTCGCCAGGGTTGCATGCATCCAGCTCGGGCGTGCTACTGGATCCATCCGGTGCATGCAGTTCTGTCGGGCGGATATGTGGACCACGCTCGCCACGCCCGCAACCGACAGGTGCTCTTACAACGGCGCTCGTCCGAAAAATTCAACCCTGGCTCGCCATCCGCATCATCCAGCGCTGTGCGTCCTTACCGCCTTACCGCCTGCTTCAGGGCTGGCTGGCTAACGGTCTCCCACAGGCATCCGGAGCGTTCGGCCGGTGATGCATCGAGCATCATTTTTTCCATCCGCGCTTGGCTCTCTCTCACACTCACACTCCTACTCTCCGCCAAGCGGGCCGTGGACGTGACATCGGCGGCTACGAATTTCGAGCACCGTTGCGGCCGGAATAAGACTCGGCCTTGCGGTCTTCGCTTCTCGTACGTGCATACGCGCGTCTGTCCATCTTGAGATCGCGGCCCGATGTCACTTTTCCACCCCTGCAGCCACGACCTCGAAGCTGGGACCCAGCCTGCTCGGGGTCTTGTGAGGCATGCGCTCGGTCAAGACGGGGGAATCAGACTTGGCACTGCGCGCGAAAGCTTGTCAGCGGGAATTTTGCTGCAAGGGGATGCCCGCCACTAGAACGCCATCCACTGTATCATTGGCCGCTGCACGTCCGTGTTGGATGGCATTCCTAGACATGAACGATCCTATCTTACATCCACAGGCATTGATGTTTGTGCGCACGAAGAATGTGCTGTGCTCAAAAGTGTGATTCTCTCCCGTCTTTGCGTGGCCACGGTGGATGGATTCGCACACATAGGGTTCGAACCCCCCTTCACTGTACTCCGATCCGATCTCGCGTGCAAACCCGGCCCCGCACACCGCTTCATAATGGCGTCAATTCCTCTCAGCATTCATCTTGAGCACTCTCAGTGTCCACTTCTACCAGGCCGAACTCAATCGTTCGTTCATGACAAGACGCCCCCACTCGTTCGTGCAAATCAAGAGCCCCGAAAGATCATTGGGCAGAATCCGGAATTCGGGTATACAGTCGCGTGGCTTTGTGTCAAGTCCGAAGATTCGCCGGAACAAATTCGGATCTCGGATCGGGAATGCCAATATTCAGTGTTGGCACTTCCAGGCACACTCTTCGCAGCTCTCCGAGCCCGACTCCACCTTCGTGCACCGCGCTTCATCATCAGGGTCTGGCCGTGCTGAGCACATGACGAGCTTGTCCGCGGGTCTCTCTGGGCTTTGTTGAGCGTTGCAGGCGGGTTTGACGAGTGTGTTCCGGTGTTTGCCACTCATGGGTGATATCACGTGACCTCATTCGCGCTTCGCCGTTGCTTTTTCGAGAAAAAGACCAACACTTGACCCTCACGCAGGCAACAGGCACGCGTCTCGCCGAAATTCAGGGCTCGAGGAGCAGCAGCAGCCATATTTACCGCTGCGCATTTCTGAGGGCATGCGGTCGCTTTGGACTCGCTCGCTCCTCTCCGGCCTCACCCACACCCAGTGGCCCCACAGTGTTGGACTTTTGGATCCGGCCGGCTTGCCCTGCCCCACCGCCCTGTCCATACCTCAGTGCGGGTGGCAACAGAGCCTCTCTTGCGCATCCATCTCAAACCCCTCCGGCCACTCTTTCCGCACGTCGCTGTCGTAGCGATTGCGCCTTTGTCTCCACCTCTTGTGCTATACCCGGCAGCGCGACCTCACCGCTGCAACCATCTGACGCCTCCACGCGATACTCTCCGACCTTGTTGAACTCGCTTGGCATGGCCCAGGTGATGCAATCATGTCTTCCACCTCACCACAGAAGCGGAGGTCAAACGCTTTCAGAACGAGCTTGATCGAGCAGCCCATGCGACAGACCCGCTCCATGGCACGAATCTCGGATGTGCTCGACGCCACACAGCACTTCTCTATGTCCAAGGCCGAAGCCCAGCGTCCATCCGACGCTTCTATGCAGTCTCGAGCAGCGTCTCCGCGCAAAGCCCGCGCAAGTCAGGCTGCACAGCTCGACCATTTCGACCCCGAGTCTCCCGACGTCAGCCTAGCAGCATGCATGGAGAGCCCAAAAAAGGGCCGCTTCGACGACTTTGAGTTCGAGCTCGAGAACAGCAAGCACGAGCTGCCCGTCCGACGCACGAGGGCCAACGCTCAGAGACAACCTGCATCTTCATCCTCAGCGGAAGCGGGTCTACCTCGCTCCAAAACATCAACGACCCTCAATCGCACCATGCCTGCGAACCCTCTACTTGCCAGCCGTAAGGAAAATTCCACAGTCACGGTCCGAGATCCAGTTCAGCCTGGTGCAAGTCCGGTCAAGCCAGCAGCCACCGCCAATCGCCCTTCTCGACTACGTGGACATGCTGCGGCCGCTCAGTCCAGCAACCTCGATGGGACAGGGACAGCGGATGTAGCGACGACATCCGCTGCCGCCAAGGAGCAGTCGGACACCAAAATTGACAGCATGCCACACCCGGACGATCGCGAATCCAACCAGCGCCTTCTTTTCGGGACAAGCAGAGCTTCATCTCGTGATCCTGCTCAGCCCAACCCTTTCAGCACGAGCTCCGACACCAACAGTCTCGCGCAGCTGGGCGAGCCCAGGCACTCGCCGGTGAAGCGCTTCCAGACCAAGTCCGAATTCGTCATTCAGTCGCCTGACCGACCGGACCGCAGGCCTATCAACCTTCTCGAGCTGAAGCCTTCGCCCGGTAAAGCTCAGCGAGGTATCTTCCGCCACAACTCTGTCGTAGACGAAGATGATGACGACTGGGGCAATTCAGATACCTCAGAGCTCAACATCACCATGGATGAGATCAAACTTGTCAAGGGCCCTTCCGTCCCGAAGCAGGCTGCGACGCGGTCACACGAGGTCTCTTCGTCGTCATGCGCGAAAGGAGATGCATCTGCAACCTCAAACCCTAGAGACACGACGCACAAGATGGCAAGCACGACTACGCTCGACGTCAAGGACATCATGTCCCCGGAAACGTCGGATATGTTGGCGAATCTCGAAGCGTCGCTGGTCAAATTGAGAGCAAAGACGCACTCGCAGCCCGCCGCGGTGGACGCCAAGAAGAAGGAAGAACAGAATGTCCTTGCGCCCGTCAAGAGGGAGTTGGGTGGCCTTCGTGCATCCGGAGTCTCTGCAAGCCGAACACAGACCTTCCGGATCAAAAACTCAACAACCTCCGCTGATCTGGCCAACCAAGCACGGTCAGCGACCGACCAGAGCGGAGACAGCAGTGTCTTCAAGCGCCCATCAGGACGTGTTTCCGCCTTGGCAAAGTCCAGAGTCTCGAGCTCGGAGCATGGCTCGGACTCGTCCCTCACCTCTTCTCGATCCATGATGTCGTTTGGCGCTCCGCGTCTTCCAGGATTCAGCGAGGTTGGAGGACGAGCGTCTCGGCCCATGCCACCAAGTGCCCGAACCTCAAGCCTCGACACGACTTCAGATGATCCGAGGCATGAAGAGCTGGCTGCAGCCGAGGAGGAGCAGGCGCGAATCACAGAGGCCAAGAGGCAGGCAGAGCTCAAGGCTGCCAAGCGCAAGTCCATGTCTTCGATCCTGTCAAGCGGCATGCCGCCGACGCTGCAACGGAGGGAGGCAAGTGCATCTTCATCGGGATCTCAACCGCCACAAGAGTCTTCTGCGAAGCCGACATCGCCAACTGCAGCGAAGCCATCCGAAGACGCTGCCGAGGCAAAGAAGGCGGCGAAAGCAGCAAGAAGGCGCTCGCTCTTTACCTATGTGCCTACCAAACGCGAGGACGCGGACGGCGACCGTTCGATCGGCAATCTGTCGACCGGCCTCGCCATCTCTACGACCGCATCGGGCAACGCTTCCGAGGCCGACACCTCGACCCAGGCGCCTCGCAAAGCTCGATTTCTGCGCGGCCTGACGGTGCTGGTGGACGTGCGTGATCAGGATGGAGAAGACGCTTCGGGGCGGTGGGTCGAGATGCTCAAAAACGCCGGAGCCAAGGTGATGCTGCGCTTTCCCGAGCGCAAACTCACGCACATCGTATACAAGAGCGGAAGACCGAGCACTCTGCACTCGTACCGCGCTCTCGACGATCCCAAGCCTCACGTCGTCGGGATCAGTTGGGTCGTCGCTTGTCTCGAGCAGGGCAAAAAGGCTGATGAGCGGCCCTACCTCGTCGAGGTGGCCAAAGAGGCCATCTTCGCAAACGTAAGTAGTGCTCGGAACGATGTGATCGAGCATAGCGCTGGACAATGATGCTGACCCGACTTGCTCCTTTGTTGCTGTCGCACTAGCCACGTCGCTCGTCCATGGCGCCCAAGCATGTGCCTTCATCGGCCACGTCAATCCGGGAGCGTGAGTAGAATGGCACTGCCAGTCAGATCGAACCTTTCAAGAGGGATTGGATTTTCTCTCCGCTTTGCAACCTGTGAGCCTCTGCCGCTATCCTCTTGCCCCAGGAGCTGGATCTCCCTGCGCCTCTTTCGCCGTGTGCATGATACCTGGCTCCAGCCGCACACTTTGTTCAACAAGAAGGACGCTGACTAGGAGGACTGTTTTGCTTGTCGCTGCCACAGTCCCAAAGGAGATGCAAAAGAGCGTAGAGCTGGCACGCCGCAAGCTGCTTGCTCACGCGCCTGCGGTGTCGAGCCCACTCCGTCGCCGCATCAGCTCGCGCAGCGTGTTGGCCAGACAGCTCGCTGCCACAACGATCCACTCGGACACCGCTGATACCGGCGGTGGAGCAGCGAGACCTCGAGCCTCGTCTTCGAGGTCAACAAATGAGCCGGCCGAGAATGCAGATGCGGCCGGTCAAGGGCTACGCAGCTCAAGTGATGATGACGCGGACGGCGACCTCCACGAATTGGCACAGTACCGCGAGACTGTCAAGCAGATTCTTTCCAAGCCCGCGAGCGCATACTCGTGAAGCTACCCCACGCGAACATGACACCTCCCTCCCTCGCTGGGCCTTTGCTGTAATCTCCCCGTGCACTGTCAGATGATACCAATGTGGCTATTCAAAGAAAACAGCCGTCGCTTTGAACCTCGCCGGATGCCACGAGTCTTAGTGCGACCAAAATAGCGGAACCGAGACCGCGGCACCAGTCCATGACTGAGATGCCGTCGACGCTTACGAGACGAGCTTTAAACGAATCCTGCTCGATGGCGCTCGCTTCGTCGTCTTACCTGGCTGGCGTTTACCTTCCGCGTCCGGGGAGAACGTGATAATATGATTGCCCCGCTCCGGCTTCTGCACAATGGTACTACGTACTGATCTGGGAAATACGGGACGAATGCAATGCAGACCGCCGAAGCCCGGGTTGACGAGTGTGAAAAGGTAGCAGCGATCGCCGGGCCAACGGTGGCAGTGACCCAAGGTTCCAGCTCCGCATCTTCATGGCAAGGGCCCAAAGACGTGAGGACGGGACTCGCTTGCGGGCTAATGGGAAAGCATGGGAAGGCCCTTCGCGATCCGGTACGACCAGCGGTGTCGGCCAGACGCAAGCGAAGCGCCATTCGCCCACGATTCATCCGGTTTCAAGTAAGCTCTCTTTTATTAATAAGCACTACAAATTGTGTGAGACGAAGCGCCGACTTCGAGCTCGGCCCGGCTGTCCAGGTGTGAACGGAGCCATTTTTACGTCTCGGATGCTATGGGTCACCGAGACGTATTTCCCTTTGGATTTGCCGTTGAGGATGCTGCTATTGAACCATGAGAGAATTGGGGCACGGCGCTGGATCACATGGACAAGAGCGTGAGGGTTTCGTGCTTGTTCCTGCGGATGAGCAGGCGATAAAAAAAAAGTGGAGGATTGAGACACTGCAGTGGGACAGTGTAGAGCTGGAGCCCTTGGAAAAATTGGACTCGCCTACGGGTCGAGATGACGGTGCACTGCAGATCGAAATGCCGGGAGGTGTTCGCAGATGGGATCCGGATCGTCAGCCAACGCGATGCAACAGTCGATCCCAAGATTAAGCGAACCACGGAACGATGCTGCGACAGGCTGGCTAAAGCGGCTGCCGCACACGGCCCACTCGATGTGACGCGTCAGCTGCGTGATACCGCTCTGCCGATGGCTTGGCACGCTTCGAGCCGCGGTGAAGCTTGTTGACCCCGCAAGCCTCTCGCGGCTTGTCAGGCACCGTGCATGATCTCGCTTGAGCATTGAACGAATTCTGACGTCGTCAGGCGCAGTCACCCCATCGAACTCAGACGCGTCTACGCCTATTGTTCCGTGCTTTGGCTCTGCCCCGTCGGGAGCCGCTATGGGAGAAAAGGTGAAGTGAGGCGGTCGGTGCCTGCAGATGGCGAACCCTCTCTCTGCCGCGTCCCCAACAGTACCGATGGAGCAAACGCCGGCGGATAGGGCTTCCGTTCGCGCGCAAGTCAGCATCATCGACAGATTGGCTCGCCAGAAGCGAGTCGAGGCGAGCGAGATCGAGCACTTCCAGCTCGATAACTTAAGTTCGTTGTTGCCTCAGCTGGCGCTATTCTCTGTAGGCGTTTCGCGTCGTCCGTCAGGCCGGCTTTGCTGGCGAGGCCGATCCACGCTAACTAGTTGCCAGCCGAGCTTATTGACGCACAGTCAATCTCAGGGCTCGACGGTGTCGCACCTGTCCGCGAAATCTCGGGGCCTGTACCGATACTCCGCCCCTCACCTGGATGCAGCTGGGCGTGCGGCTACCCCAAAACCCACAGCCAACGGAGAATGCAACGACACAGATGCGGGTGTGGAGAGCGTGTGAGAGTTGCGTCCAATTCGAGCTCCGACCACGGGGGATGTAGCGGAGACTTTTTGGGCCGGTTGTTTGTTGCGCTGAGCGGCCGGTTCAGCCCGGGAGACCGCGCAGGGCATCCGGCGTGGCCGCGCTGCCCCGACGCCGAAAAAGTGCAGGAAAATTGTGCGGAAAAAGAGGTCGGCAGATTGTGATCAACACTGGTACAGAACCGCACTCGAGAGGACCCCCCAAAAAAGGTGGCTGGCGCATTTCCGGCACTTGCGCCCAGGTGGGCTAGCCCTAATCTACGTCCAAGCGCTGTCCCTGCAGAACGGCGTGATCCCATGCAAGGCTAGGCTTGGCCATCGTGCTTGAACTGTGCTAGTGCGCTCCGATCCACAGCCACACATTCTCCCACCCTGAGTCTCGGCGCTTCGGATGCGACATGGAGCCCTGGCCTGAGCCAAGGACCCCGTTTTCGTTCGATTGGGCGGCGCTGGGCCTGCCATTGCGGTGCTGCTGTGACCGAATCGAGTGGAGAACAGCAAAGCGCTCCGTGAGCGGCTCATTCCGTCTGTACCATACGGTCCTGCACCTCCCTGCGACGGGCACTGCCAAGTGGATGCGGAGGAACCGTGCGAGGTTCAGCTGATGATTCGCTTAAGCGTGTGTTGGAAGCACATCAGCATCATCGAACTTGCAGCAGCAACGGCTGCTGAGAACAGGTGCGGAAAATGCGTTCCACGCACAGCTCCCGACACAGCCCAAGTGAAGCAAGATCTGCACCCCAGCTGAATTTGACAAAATTCGGTTTTTTTTTGGGGGGGGGG